TATTTTATTATATAAAAAGTCCTTTTATTTAATTTAAGGGTGAAATCGATAAATAAAAATCTGAATAAAACTAAAAGTTTTTAGCTAATGCTTGTTTTCATACCCATATTCAGTTCTTCTTTACGGATTTCACTTTTTTGCTTTTTTTTGCGCTGATTTCAAATATACTACTAGATTTCTTATAAACCTGTGCATGAAATATATAGTTTTTGATAGCTCATTGTATATTTGAGATATCGGAATATTTTCTTTTATTAATTTCGAAAATATATACTAGTCATATGTACAGAAATGATAACTAAGAAAGCGATAAAAAATAAAGTAGATGCTCAATTCAATGCGACCATGCAATTGGAAAGACTTTTGTTTGTTTAACAGCTAAAATAATTCATATAAACAATAAGTTACGTATTTTATGGTTTTGAGTGTGTATTAAGGAGGATAAGACGATATTCTTGGGATGAAAAAGATATATGTGTACAATACATATTTGTAAAACAATAATCATCATAAGGTCGTCAGTCCTAAGACGGGTGGACACGCACCTCCACTCTTTCCTATCCTGAACCCATCTTCGAATTTCCCGGAAACTAAAAAACAATGCTGAACAGTTGACACATGAAATTTTGTTGATGTAGAAGGAACATTCAACCCTTAGTGTTATCAGAAGAAATGTCTATTGTTTTGCACATTTGTAGATAGCAAATTTTTCCTCTCAAGAATATCTTATTTCAATTTTACAAATCTCATTCAACACAGAATCAAAATCCTAAAACGCGTAACTAATTGTTTAATCAATCAATAATTTCAATTTAGCATCATTTCAGCAGGACGAAGGGGAGAATGTTTTATAGTAAAGGACCACAAAGTCTAAAAGCGGCAGGTCATTGTTTCACAATTTTTTTTAAAAACTCAATTTTTTAGGGGTCAAATAAGGTATTCGAATTTAAGCGCAGTTATTAAAAACGTATTTAAGAATATTATCGTTAAAAAAAAAGCAAGTTTTATTGTAATTACTCTTGAAAGTTATGTACCTACTCAAAGTGGTTCACTATGCAAAGCTGAGGCACACTAGGGAGCAAAATCGACGATGTAAAAAATATATTATTCCTGTAGGTACTTACACAAACGAGGAAAGGAACAGAAGTTTATTGGCCATGTATTAAATAATTGTCAATGCATTTGCGAGTAATTGAGTCACATAAAACTGCATTAGTTGATGAAAATAAGTTCATTTAAGCGAGCGACTGGTTAACCAACCTGCTTTTTACGAAGTTGACTTTAATTACGCTCAATTAGTGAAATGCAATAAATAAAATTTAATTCGATCTCGACGTGATATGTTTGCAGTAAATACTCATCGAGTGAGAAGAGCTTGTCGTTTTCCTTTATGGTTTTTTTTTTCAATGAATCATCAATTTTTAACATAAACACTCATACATATACATATACATATATACATGTACATGGACGTGTATATAATCTACTGAGAGATAAAATTACTGAAAACCAATATTATAATATTGCAGTAGTATATTTACTCCTGTAATAAGTAACACTTAAAAACTATTTATGTAGGTCATTCGAACGAACTTTTTACGAAAACATTTACTTTCACTGATATGAGGATTTATAAGTTTTTTACTTACAATTGTAAGACTAATATTAAGAATGATTTATTGTTAATTACGTTTTTTTTATTTTAAAGAATTTAAGGTCGTACCATGCTCTTGGTATCACGGTTATTTAAGTTTGAGCCCATTAATAAACTAAGTTTCTATCAAGTAAATTTAGATATGACTACTCAAGGTGTCACCAGTTATAACCTTCTGGAGCAAATATAGGTCCAACAACTCCTTAGCAATATGATGCAGTTTTGGTACGAATTTCGCGGCGACCCGTAACGTAATGTAACTCACGGAAATACAAAATTCGCGATAATTTTTGTAAGAACCTTGTACATATCGTAAGTAAAAGTGTATGTGTTGATTACCGATGAAACAAAAAAAATCACGTTGTATAAAATCCTTTTTGAACTTTCAATTGTGAAGAGCGAGCTCTACAATTTTTCTGGTGAGTTACCACTGAGTAGCGAGTGAGTAATTTTTGTATATTATACCCTCATCTTTAGGGAAAATAAATAAATTAGTCGTATTAAATTATCACTTGCTTTTAATGTTGCATTTGTTCGTTCGATAAAAGGTTTTTGTTTTATTGATCAGTAAAATATTTCCAACTTTAATAACAAAGAGTAATTGGTCATTAAAACGATCTAAAGTTTCTATAAGTAGGCTCAAGAAATAAGGTAGAAAATTGATCCCGAGATTAGACTTTCTTGTTTTTTACATGTTTTTTTTTAATTTGACCTATCTATATAACCCAGGAGCCGCCACTGTTTATTTCAATTATTAATTACTTGCACTAAAAATGCTAAATTGGTTTGTCCGTTGGTTTTGAAATTACTTTTTGTTACAGACGTCTGAAGATTACCAAAATGAAAAAGTAACTAACCACGTAGTACATCAGTCAGCAAGGAAATGATTGAACTCAATCGTCACCGTGGAAAAGTTTATCAGGGTGGAATGAATGAAATGAATATCGCAACCCAAGCCGAGTGCCAGAACCGGTGAGTTTTTTTAATAACATTTTACTGTCTATTCATTTAATAAACGGGGCGCACGAAAACTGCAATTACTTATTTTAATTAGAAGGTTCACAAACTGATGTAAATAATTTCACGTTTCGTCGTATTGCAATAATTTTGAAACATTTCGAATGTCGTCAAGATTTATCGCTTCTTCACTTAACAACTGTACTTCTCCCGTAGTTATTCATGAAGGCTTTGGTAAATTTTAGTTCATTTTGATATCTTCCTCATTCATTGAATGTCACAAACTTGGCAAAAAGTTTATGTGAAATTAAAAAGCAATTTTTAAAATATGCTAGGATGGGAAACGGTCTTCCAAGATGTGAACTGATGTTGTTCTGATTGCGATCTAAAGACCGTCGTGAGTTACGTGTTGCAGTTGCTTCCTAACGTTTCGCTAGTACAATTAGCGAGCTTCTTCAGGAGTCCTTTCATCTTCAACTGAATCTGCATCCAGCGTCGGAGTTGAAAGAACCTCTTAAGAAGACGCTTGCCACTCGTGTTAGCGAAACGTTAGGAAACAACTTCAACACATGACGACCTTTCGACCTGAATCAGAACAGCATTAGGTCATCCACTGGCCGCGAGAGTCTTCACCAACTTGTCTTCCAAAATGTCTTTTGAAATTCTGTGTATTAGCAATTATGGAGAAAATGAAAAACGAAAATTTACCTGAATATTAAAGCGATATTTACAATTTGTCCCACTAGGTCGTTGCTTAGTAATCAAACGAACAATTTGGAGTCGAATTTGTAAAAATAAAATCCCAGCAGAAATAAATTTACTAAGTATTTAATTTGATATTACAAATTTAATTGTAATAATTCATCATCATCATTATAAGGCCGTCAGTCCTAAAACTGGTTGGACACGTACCTCCACTCTTTCCTATTCTGAGCTAAAATNTTTTGACAATCATCACGAACATGACCAAAGTTTTTACAATACGCGCACCTGGCCTTAGACCTTTGAGTGGCTTCGGATTTTTTGACCAAATCTTTTCTGTCCGAATTATGCTTTGATTCGACTCCCGTCTCTTGCAATGATCGTTCAACTTCACGCGCTCGCGTTAACAAGTCTTTAAAGGTAATTATGTCACTTCGTATAAGTCTTTTTCGAACTCTACGCGAAATCAGTCCGAATACAACATCGATCTGTGCTTCTAGGGGCAAATCATACGGTAACTGGGACATTAACGCACGCACATGACAAACAAAACTTTCGGTTGTTTCTGTGGCATTATAATACTGAAGAATACAAAGATTTAGTGAAAAATTCTTCTTAAATCTGTTCATAAAATACATAAATTAAGTAGGTACATCGTACCAAAGTAAATTGAATAATAATTTCGACGAGCAGTCCAAAGTTCGTCAGTAATTTAAATAAAAGTTGAGGAGAACGAGTACATTTATACATTTTAGTAGGTAGCTGCATAGAGCGATATTAAGCTTTAATATTTACATTTAATTTTGCGGAGCAGAAAGACCTTGCATTGCGCTGTTTACTTTCCTCACGCGTAATTAAAAAAGCTTATTGAAACAAGGGGTCCACGATCTTTTAACCAAAACATAACGTGCGAACTTGCGTTCGAAAATACAGCTGCACTTCATATTGCATGTACATACATAATGTACAATATACAGTTCCTAGTGGGTCCAAAGGAATCCAATTACTATAAAATAGCAAAAATTGTACAGCTGAACCATCGAGAAGTGGTGTTTGACTGTTTCACTTGCGGTACAGATAATAAATAAACAAGAACAGCATTCGGCTAGAAGAGGATGTCACTCACGCTGGAGAGAAATATCCAAATTTACAAGAAGTTGGTCATTAGGAACACACTATTTACTCCTACATTATGTTTTTATTATTCTGTTTATTTAGTCACCACTATATTGATTATGGAAATTACAGCCGGGTCAGTTCTTGGCTCGAAGAAGAGCTGAACTTAAATGATTAAATCTGTAGGCATTAAAATCTTAAGTTTTAAGGTTTTCAGGCTAGCATTGCTATCATCTACATTTGTGAAATTGGCAATTCATTAAAATAAGAGATGTAATTTCAAAATGCCTTTTGTCCATGTTTCGTTTTCAATGGTAGTTGATATCTTCAAGTCTCGTCCGATCTTGACCATGAACTTTACGGTAAACAGTAGACTGATTTTGCTAATTTATAAATTACAATAAAGGTAAACGTATTGTTTTAATGATTAGCCAGAAAATGAATTAAAATTACCCTTAAGGGATGAAAGGAGGTTATTACGTTTGTAATTGTAATTTTAATTTCTGGTCGGACTTACTTGAAACCTGGTTCTAATTCCCATTGAAACAATTGAACAAATGCGTATTTTCGCAATTTTTAAAAATCAACCCTTAAGGGTTATGTTTGTATGGGGAACATTTTATTTGTGGTTTATACTTGAAATTTGTTATTTATGCTCTTTAATATACTTAATCAAACATCTATTTAATTTACTTATTAAAATTTAGATAGCATATACCAATTCTCCAATAAAATCAATCTCATTGATCTCCATTTGTAGTAATTTCAACGTCTATTACTAAAAAGTTCAGAAAAATAGTCAACATTATTTTCCTACTCAAATTATAATTAAAATGGAAGCAGGCATATAGAGAAAATAGTTGTCTCAAAATAATTATCTTCCTAGAATAGGCATGTGTACCTACCCTGTCATCTTGTAATTTCATCATCATCATCGTCATCTCCATTATTTTATATATGTTTAGGTAAATGAATTGCTACATTCTTGTAATGTATATAACCAAGAAACGCTGGCGAGACACTCGTAGTTTATTCGAGTAACACAATTATACAACTCGGCCTAAGGGCTGATTTAAGAAAAGACGTCATTTCCTATGTAAATTGTAATCGTGCTGAAAATTAGTCTGGCCTCGACATGTGCTTATCATACGTATAATGTTTCGCGAGTAATTAAGGTTACCTATAATTATAATAAAAAGTACAATTTCCTTTCATACTCATTCAAGCTCAAAGAACCGAGACATTTCTTTCGTTCTAGAGTTTTTGTTAAATCTGAAATGTAAAAAAGTAACGAAATTTTCTGTAGTTGACATTTCATTGTAACAGAAATTTAGTCATGAGACACTTTGAACATTTGCAAAGTAAAATTCAATGTATTATTGAATTAACCTTACCGCATACAGGTAACCTGAAGTTATCTGTAGGTTATTTGTAGATTATCTGTAGTGGGAAAAATTAATTCATTAATGTAGATTGTTAATCAATTGGTATATTGAGATTTTGTCTGGACCAAGTATTCCACGATGTGTTGCTCATAGTCTTTGTTACTGTACCGTGTTACAACTAGCAAATGTCTCGGTTACGTTTACAGAATCCAAAGTTGGTTATGACTTTACCCCCTTACTGAACTAAACTTGTTACCTAGAATTTTCGAACGTAACTTGTATTGTATTTTCTACATTACGAGTAAGCTCAATGTGTGGTGTTGTTGCCACTATTTTTTGAATTAATTCGTGCAGACTGTGGGTGGTATACATACAGGTTAGTGCTTGATATTGTTTCAGAGTTACAATCTTTTTGAATGAACAACTATTTTCGAACTAATATCAAGTGTTTTAATGATTATTGTAAATCTTTAAATGTGTAAGACTATAGGTATTTCAGTGTTGCCAGAATTTTTATTCTCCAGTTTTTTGCCAAAATTTCCCTATATTTTCCCGAAAATTCTTATGCTTTAAACAAAAAAGAATTTATTTGGCGCAATAAAAAGGACAGTTTCTTTAGTTAATTACTCGCAAATTAGAAAGGTTCAAGAAAATTAATTTGGAAAAAAATAGACTTTTTAGTTATTCACAACATTTTATTTTACTTAGTTAAATAGTTAAATCTTTCAACTTCTTTGATTTTTTATTCTTTAAATTTTATAAAAAATCAAATAAGTTAGCTCTAAATTCCCTAGATATGGGGAAATTTCCTCAGGGCTGGCAAGAATCCAAACACCAACTTTATGCATATCACCTAATCTCGATGACGTTAACACAATCACTCAATAATGTTATACTAAATCAGAAGACAAGTATTGTTTATTTCATCAATAAGAAGTTTTTGATAATGAAGTTGTGTGGTAGAGAGTCTACACTGTATTTATTTTAAAAACGTTGTTATTATGTTCAAGAAACGGTTATTAGTCGACGCGATGCGATGCGACGGTTTAAAAACCCCCAGGAAAATCGCTTCACTTCCTTAGCTTTATCAACTACAAATAAACGAGGTCTTTCAAAGACGAAATTTACCACGGGCGGTGCATAATAACTTTAAAGGGATGAAAACAAAGACGATAACGGGAACAAAATTAATAAACTTCCGACAAAGAGACTTCCTTTCTTCCCTCGGTGTTTGTATTGTCCTCGTCGGTAATAAGAATAGTAATAAACATAAACATAACCGGTCGCAAGGGCATGGACGCTAACATGAGCGTCGCGGCGTGGCGGCCGGAATAAACTGTAATAAAGTCTAGACGGCAACCGCAATTTTTGTACTTTCCTATTGGAAGAAAAAGTGCAACAGACAGATATTACACGAATTTAGACATAATTTATTAGTACGTCTGAATATCTTTTTTGACGTGACAACGTCTTATAATTCGATGGAGCCGACTGCACGCACGAAAAAACATGACTCATGCGTCGTTACCTCGCTCTGAGGCGTTCCATTTAAGGCTTGAAGTGCAAGCGAGAGCGCGGAACGAGCGACAAAGAGGCACAATCGGCCTCCGCGTTCGGCAGCGTTCGACATCTGTCTCTCTCCTACTTGAGTGAGCGATGCGTCCGCGTGGACAGCTGCTATACAATAATACATTTCCATTTACCTCCTTCTCTATATCCATACAAAATATCTATCAAACAAATAAAATTAAAATTTTCTTTTGAAAAATGAAACCATTCCATCAGTATTTTCTTATAACGTTGTCACGTTCA